ATTAACCATTAAAATAGGAAGTTGATGTTTTAAACTACAATGAAGATCCTCCTCTTTTTCTATCATTTTAGAATAAATCATCTAATAAATAATTAATATATATTTTAAAGTTAATTTTGAAATATAATTCTATATGGCTTATCGATTTGTGTCTGATTAATTTTTTACATTATAATATATATGTCGATCATAATATTTTAAACTAAAGTGCAATTTTTGAATCATTGTTATTATACTTTGGACATCTATTTTACTCTAATATGAGCTTTCTAACTCGAAGAAAGTTCTAGAATTACAATTCTTGTTTAGCCAATAATGTAATTAGTATCTAATTTAGCAAATTGATTTTATCTGCTAATAGTTTTAACTGAAAGCTGATCTGTTTACTACTATCTTGCTATTCAAAAAATATAAGGTTTAAAATAGGTTGAATTTAAATATAAGATGTTATTTTTAATTAGTAAATAGATATATTTAAAAAATTGATAAATAAATTTGAAGTAAACTTGCATAGAGATCAAATATTTTCTAATTAGTTAAAAGTAATTAGGATTCTAAGATATCAAATAAAAGTACTATAAGCCAGAATACTTATGAATGAATAAAATTTATCGAGTCTTGATCCTAATATATTTTTACTTTTAATGCTTCGAAAGGAAATCAAAGAAAGGAGTAGTAATTTGGGCTTAAAAATGTGGATAATATGTTGAAAGGATGTGAAAAATTATTAAAGTAAGTTATTTACTGCAAAAAATGGGTGTAAATGTATATCTGAATACAATGAGGTTACCTAAAGGTGTTAAACAACTTATGGGGTAGGTTGTGTAAAAGATAGTTGTGTAGTGACACTGAAAAAAGTTTGGCTGCGTAACAAGGAGAAAAATGAATTTCATTAAAATTTATGTTAAATTAAGTTTTGCGACATCACTCCAAGTTCACCAATAAATAATACATAATTTTTTAGTAATTATGAACAAACTCTTACATAATTTTATAACTAGATAGATAGAATAAATATTATTTCAGATGCAACGGATGGAACTTGACCTGAGTTGTCTGTATAAATAAATGCTAATAAACGTATTGGTATTATGTGTAGGTTCATTATAGTCATTCAGATTTTCATGAATAAGCAAACTATATTGATTCACTTGAAGAGATATTGCAACAATATTGGTAATTATTCATTTGAATTGGAAAGTGTTTGATGGTTAGTATTGATGAATGAGAGAAAAGGAATATAACAATATTATAATTTGAAATTAAAGCCATAAAAAAAAATCAATAATAAAGTGTAATGTAATAGTAAACAAATTACAGTTACTGTTATTAAAATTATAATACTTTGATTTCCAAGATCAAAAGAAATTTCGGAAAATAATTGGGTGAAAAATATAAAACATTGATACTATAATATATTTTAACAGCTTTTTACTTATGGATAAATTACATATTTAATAGTAATACTATAGTTTAATCAAAATACATATTCTTTGATTTACAATTTTAGGATTACTTCTTATATTTGTACTCAATAATATAATCTAGTAGGTTTTAACTAAATACAAGACACGAAAAATAAAGTTAATTATATTGTAATTGATATCATTATCATAATTTCTGTGCGAAAGTTCCAACCTACAATCTATCAGTAGATAACCAAACTACAAGAAATTCTGGATTTTATTAGAACTCTGTTTGAATGGTTGGTTCTAAATTTTTTAGGCTGTTCTAAATTGAACCTCTCAATGATTTGTTTAGATTAATTGGAAAAACCAGGATATAATTAATATTAAGGCTATAGAATTTGATATTAAAACTGATAAAAAGGTAATAACAAGGTGCTCAGGATTTAAGATATGTTGATTAAAAATTATTGTTTGAATAAAAATAATGTTAATCTTATTTTTGATTTTGAAATATATTCACAAATCAATGCTTACAAATCATGTTTGTATAATGATAAAAAATTATTCAAGATCTATGTATTCTGAAGATTACTTAAATTAATAGAGCCTATATTTTAGCTAAAATTTGTCTATGATTGTTCTTGATAAATTTATAAGTAAATATATTATCTTCATTAAATCTGATATACCCTAATAAGGAGTAATCTACAATGTTTGTTAATAACTTTTTGAAAGCATAATTTTTCTTTTTAATCAATCCTTCAGTAATTCCTTATTGATTATATTCATAAATAATGATATTAATAACCTTTTTAATATTATTAGAATTAATATTTCCCATAATTTAACAATATGGTCTGTCTGATGTATTATTTGTATTGTTCAATTTACAACAACCTACCAGTTTAAATGATTTTATAAATATTACCTTTGGTTATATATGAAAAGAATTTATCTTGTTTTGTTGTTTATCAGAATCCAATGAAGTGACTTGAGGAATCTAAATATTTTTTTAATTATTTTTTTGTAAAATTGTATTACAATAATCGACGCATTTATGTTCTCGATTTAAATTGAATTAAATAGATGCTATATACTTTAAAAGGCCATTTTCTGATTAAAGTATAATAATTATGAATAGAGATATATTAAAACATGAATTGAGAAAATAGAGTCAATTTCGAGATCTCTAAGTCATCAAATAAATATATTAACGCTCAATTAGCATATTTTTTTCAAATAATAACTAAATTAATCCTTAGAATTATTGTATTGAAAGATTATAATCTAAAATAGCATACGATTGGTATTAGAATCAAATTCCGTTCAAATCGATGTGAAATTTACGCTAAAGGTTAAAATTTTAGTCTCCTGATAATCCAAAATGACTAATTAATATAATTCAACACTTGTTTCACTTAAATTCAGTATAAATTATTTAATTTGTTCAAACTTTTATTGTAAATTTATTTAAAAAATAAAACCTGGGGAACTATCTTGGCAACCGCGAGTAAACATGTATTGTTGCTAATCGCTTTATCTAATAAAGATTTTAATGGAATTTTGAATTTTTAAGTTCTGAAGGCATCGGGCTTGAATTTCAAAGTTTAAGGTAGGAATTGTTTAATCAAATTCTATTTCATTTTCGCCTAATTTTAAGGACTTTTAAGCCATTAAATCACTTTGAAACTATATTTAGTTAATATTATTTGAAATTGGTTTTACTTTTTAAATAATCTTGGTAGACACACAGGTTAAAGGAGGAATTTTATCAAAATAGATGCAATCTCCTTTAAATAGCACCCAATCTTTAATGCAAGCAATACATTATTTTTGCCCAGGTCCTAAGCAGATCTGACAATTATTTGAACATTTAGCAATATATGCATCAAATGCATTAATTCCCCAATATTTGATATTACTTGAATTTGACTTAGTGGCAAATGTAATTTTCATTGATTCTTAAGAATGATCTGTTTAAGCCCTTAGATTTATAAAAGCAACGTTTTGTTTAGTGCCACCACAATTAATAAGAGGACCAGTTTAATTTTTTAAAGGCACTTCTAATAATTGATAGTCATCAAGCTTAAGAATAAAAGTATCATTAGGCCAATTGCCAAATAACCAGAGTTTAAATTCTATTATAGCCTAAAAATGTGGAGGGAAGTTGATGATTATATTTTATACTGTTTAATTTACTCCTAATATATGTTCTCCTCCAGTTATATTTAAACCAGCGCATATACTTGAAGAGATTGTTGTATTATCTTCCCTTTTCCATTCATCAAACTAACTTGGAGTTTACAAAATTGATTTAATATTGATCCAAAAATCACATGGACTAAGATCATCAAAGCAATAAATGCAACCTTTTGGGCATTATAAAATTTCAATTTTGAATTCATGAATCCCCCATGATTCCTAAATTTTTCATAATTATACATTGTTTCCTTCTTGGTCTAAATTTGAGGTTATTATATTAAAAATAAATTTATTAGTGTGAATCATTTCGACTTCATATAAGACCTCTTTCTCTAAAGAATCTGCATCAAAAACACCACAAATTGGATAACCTTCTCTCATAGCAAACTTTTGTTATATTATTTAATCATCAATGAATATGTAAAGCCATTCGTCATTCCAGCTATCAATTCTAAAATATAAAGTTGTCATATACTTCCAAAACTTGAATGAAATTTTTATTTTATAGTGAGGCGGAAGACTTGAATTGTAAGTAATTAATGTGTTTATAGCAAAAGTGTTATAACCCCCAAACAATGTCTGATTATCACAAATCGTAAATATAAGATTGCTCCTATTGTTTTCAATGTGCCACCCTAATTAATAATTAATTTATAAACCTTCATTATTGAAATTGTTATCAATGAAAGCAGAGTAGAAGAGCTCATATTTGCTTTCAGCATTTTGAATTACTCTCAAAATGAGAAGCAGAAAAGAAAATTTAATCATTTAATTTGATAAATTATCTATTAAAATAATACATAAATGAAATAATAATTAAATAGATCATGATTGAGTATTTAATCAATAATATTTGCTTTCTTAGGGTA